TTGGAATACCCAAAGTGGGATCAAATCCCAACATTTCTGGGCATGGAATGAAATCAAGACTTGTGGGATCACACCAAGTTCTGATCCTGGCTGGAATATCCTCTACTGGATGTGCTTCCCACCGTTTTTTAAGATATTTTCATTATGACTCCAAGGAGAGCAAATACTTCCAGGAATTTCTGATTTTAAGGATTTAATCCTGGGAGAGGGGAGGTGCAGACAGGAATTCTTAGAGCTGCACTTCCCTGTGGAAATTTGGGTCAGAAATTCAGGATTTGGGGGCTCAGCCAATTCCAGCTACAGCCACAAATCCAGGAGAAAATCCTCCCCCCAAAAAAAAAATCAGGAATTTTTTCCTGGGCTGAGTTTTCCATGCTCAGGTGAGAAATCCCAGCTGGGCTGCAATTCCAGCAGCAATTCCCAGAAAAAATGAAGGAATAATCCATAGGGACACTCACTTGCTGACAGGGTTTTTAATTCCCTGCCCATCGGATCCCAGTCCCTCTCCTTCCTTCCATCCCATTTTCATCAGCATTTGGTATCCGATGTTTTCCACCGTCAGCTTGAATTCCTTGTACTCGGAATAATCCGGCTCCCGGCCCTCCTGCAGGGAAAAAGCAGGAAAAACGGGGATTAATTAATCCATGGATCATGGGAAAAGCAGTTTTACCCTCCTAAACTGTGATTTTGGGAACGAACTGCCAGGATTTCCCAGGATTCCAACAACAGCTCCGGCATTCCAGGTTGTTCCCTGGATCCAGCCTCAGATCCGGTTCTTTCCCAAGCCCAAATCCCAGGGAATGTCAGGCCCCGTGCTGGAAAACAGGGATGGGGCAGCTCCCAGGAATTCCAGGGCTTGGGAAGGACTGGAAGGTGCTGGAGTTGCACCATTCCCAAAATTCCCATTTTCTTCCCAGCTTGGTACCCACTGATCCCAAAGAGGAACCAAGTGGGAGGTGTGTCTGGAATTCCAGAGAAAATCCCAAATTGTGGAATTCCAGAGAGGAAAGGGACCTTAAAGCCCATCCAGTTCTGTGGGCAGGGACACTCCCCATGATCCCAGGATGCTCCCAGCCTTCCTTGGGCACTTCCAGGGATGGAGCAGCCACGGATCCTTTGGGAATTCCACCCCAAATATTGCCCCATTTCCGTGCTAACAGTGGGAACCTGATCCCTGTTTTTCCCTGCAGGAATGGCTGGAGCAAGGAGAGCTGGAGGAATTCCCAGCTGTGGGATGGGTCTGGAGCATTCCCAGAACCCCAGGAATCCTCACCTTGAGTGCCTTGAAGGTCTCCATGAACTTTTCCAGCTCGTCGGGCGGGAGGAAATCCCCGATGAAATGTTTCCCTCGGCCCATCTGGGTCAGCTGCTCCGCCCACTCTGCAAAAACGGGACAACTCCGAGCTCAGGGAAAATCCCCTGGGANGGGGTCACCCGAGTTCCCGGGACTTGGGCTCCAGGCCGGGATCACCCCAATCCCCGGGATTTGGGCTCTCCGGGGGAGGCTCTGGGGGTCTGAACTTCCCGAGGGGATTGAAAAGCAGCGGGGAAACGGCACCTGCAGCCGCCTTCCCATGGAACACCCGGATCGAGGTGCCTGACCCCGACTGGACCCTCTGACCCGGGACAGACCCAGCCCTGTCCCGGGCTGGATTCCCAGATCCAGGACAGACTCAGGGCTGGATTCCCAGATCCAGGAGAGACTCAACGCCCCGTTCCCAGGGAAGGACCCCATTCCCCATTCCCCTTTTTCATTCCCCGGTTCCCTTTTCCATTTACCCTTCCCCATTCCCGTTCCCTGTTCCCCATTCCCGGGGTCTCTCCCATTCCCGGGGGTCCCTCCCGGTCCCCACTCCCCGTTCCCCATTCCCGGGGGTCTTTCCCATTCCCGGGGGTCTCTCTCCATTCCCATTCCCGTTCCCCACTCCCGGGGGTCTCTCCCACTGCCGGGGTCCCTCCCGGTCCCCTCTCCCCGTTCCCCATTCCCGGGGGTCTTTCCCATTCCCGTTCCCCATTCCCGGGGTCTCTCCCGCTCCCGTTCCCCATTCCCGGGGGTCTCTCCCGCTGCCGGGGTCCCTCTCGGTCCCCATTCCCGGGGTCTCTCCCATTCCCGTTCCCCATTCCCGGGGGTCTCTCCCGCTCCCGTTCCCCATTCCCGGGGTCTCTCCCGCTCCCGTTCCCCACTCCCGGGGGTCTCTCCCATTCCCGTTCCCCATTCCCGGGTCTCTCCCATTCCCGGGGTCTCTCCCGCTCCCGTTCCCCATTCCCGGGGTCTCTCCCATTCCCGTTCCTCATTCCCGTTCCCCATTCCCGTTCCCCATTCCCGGGTCTCTCCCATTCCCGTTCCCCATTCCCGGGGTCTCTCCCATTCCCGGGGGTCTCTCCCATTCCCGGGGTCCCCCCCGGTCCCCACTCACTCCAGGGCGCTGAGGGCGCTCAGCCCGAAGGCCGCCGGGATCCCATTCCCCACTCCCGGGGTCTCTCCCACTGCCGGGGTCCCTCCCGGCCCCCTCTCCCCGTTCCCCATTCCCGGGGGTCTCTCCCATTCCCGTTCCCCACTCCTGGGGGTCTTTCCCATTCCCGTTTCCCATTCCCGGGGTCCCTCCCGGTCCCGTTCCCCATTCCCGGGGTCTCTCCCATTCCCGGGTCTCTCCNTTCTTCCCGGCCTGTGGCGCCGGGGCATTCCCGGGGTTGTTCGGGGCGTTGGGGGCGCTTTCTGTGGGGAAAACAAAGGGAATTATTATCGGGAGTTCTGGGTTTGGGGTAGGAAAGGCTCCAGGCCTGCCCCGGCTGCTTCCTCCCGGGCTGTGGGGCTGGGGCGTTCCCTGAGCTGTTCGGGGCATTGGGGGCACTTTCTGTGGAGGAAACGAAGGGAATTATTATTGGGAGTTGTGGGTTTGGGGCTGGGGCATTCCTGGCACTGTTTGGGGTGCTGGGACCACTTTCTGTGGGGAAAACAAAGGGAAATTGTTATTGGGAAATCTGGGTTTGGGCTGGGAAAGGCTTGAGGCCTGCCCCAACTACTTCCTCTCGGGCTGTGGGGCTGGGGCATTCCCGGCATGGTTGGGGGCACTTTCTGTGGGGAAAACAAAAGGAATTTATTATTTGGTTTGGGGTGGGAAAGGCTCCAGGCCTGCCCCAGCTGTTTCTTCCCCACGTTGGGAGCTGGGGCATTCCCAGAATTTTTGGGGCGATTTGGGGCAGTTTCTGAGGGGAGAATGAAGGGCACAGAGTTCCTGGGAATTCCAAGTTTGGACTAGGAAAGGAAGAACCTACCAGCATTGGATTTTTCCTTCTGGAGCTTGAGGAATTGCTGCAGGAAACTCCCATCGTTCACAAACTTGTTGGACACAGAGGCCTCGCTCTCGGAGCCATCATCGCTGAACAGGGACAGGAAAACAGGAGCTGGAATCTGGGAGCTTCCCTGCCCTTCCCATGTGGGATTGGGGACAGGAAAAACTCCTGGAACTGGTCATTTTCCTCACCTACCACCGAATTCCCAAAAGAACCCCAAATCGCCTTCCTCCTCCATTAAAATTAGGATTTTCCTCCCTCAGCTCCCTTCCCACCCCTCCGCGTCTGGCGGGCAGATTCCCGGCACGGATCCCCACGTACTCTCCGAGCAGCGGGAGCTGCGGGATGCTGAGGGAGTTCTGCCGCGCCTGCTGCTCCAGCCGGGCCTCGATCTCCCGTTTCTTCTGGGCAATCAGCTCCTCCTGCTGCAGGATGTTCACGCTCGTCTTGGCCGACTTGGACTGCGACACGCCGAACCACCGGCTCGCCTTCCCTGAGGGAAAAGGGCGGGAATTAACTCGGGAACTGTGTGGAATGAGGAGCCATTCCCTCTGAGGGAAAAGGTTGGAATAAGTCTGGGAATTGTCCAGAATGATGGGCGCATTCCCTGAGGAAAAAGGCGGGAATTAACTCGGGAATTGTGTGGAGTGAGGGGCCATTCTCTCTGAGGGAAAAGGCTGGAATAAGCCTGGGAATTGTCCAGAATGATGGGCGCATTCCCCGAGGAAAAAGGCGGGAATTAACTCGGGAATTGTGTGGAATGAAGGGCCATTCCCTCTGAGGGAAAAGGGCGGGAATTAGCTCGGGAACTGTGTGGAATGAGGGGCACATTCCCTGAGGGAAAAGGGAGGGAATTAGCCTGGGAATTGTCCAGGAACCAGGAGCGCATTCCCTCTGAGGGAAAAGGTTGGAATAAGCCTGGGAATTGTCCAGAATGATGGGCGCATTCCCTGAGGAAAAAGGCAGGAATTAACTCGGGAATTGTCCAGGAATCAAGGGCCATTCCCTCTGAGGGAAGAGGTGGGAATTAACTCGGGAATTGTCCAGGAATGAGGGGCACATTCCCTGAGGGAAAAGGTAGGAATTAACTCAGAAATTTTCCGGGATCAGGGACCGGTTCCCTAAAGGAAAAAGGTGGGATTTAACAGGAGCCATCCTGAACAGAGGGCCGCATTCCCTGTGGGAAAAAGGGGGGGAATTAATGGGAAAACCATCCCGAATCAAGGCTCGTATTTCCTACGGGAAAAGAGGGGTCCCGAAACAAGGCTTGCTCTCTCTGTGGGAAAAGGGAAGGAATAAACTGTGCGATCATACCAAACTCAGCTTCCCAATAGAAAAAAAAAAGAAAAAAATCAGCAGTGGGGTCTCCAGGAACCACCAGCTCAGCTTTCCTGAGAGAAATGAGAGAGGGAATGAATGGTTGGGTTTCCAGTGGGAAAAGGAGAGGAAAAATCATCAGTGGAGCCTCCCCGAATCACCGGCTCTGTTTTCCTGATGGAAAAGAGGAGGAAAAATTACGGGGAGACCGCCCCGGACCCCAGGCTCGGTTTTCCTGTGGGAAAACGGGGTGAAATTAAGAGAGGAGCCATCCCGAACCAGCAGCTCGGCTTCCCTGGGGAAAACGAGCGGGAAACGAACGCGGGGATCCATCCCGAACTCCCGGCTCGGCTCCGCTGCGGGAAAAAAGGAGCGAATTTAACCGGGGGGCTTCCCCCAGTCCCTGACTGCGCCGGCNGGGCCGCCCTCAGCCACGAACCTGGCCAGCTTTTCCACCACCTGCCGCGTCTCCGCGTCCTCTGGGGGCAAAACTTTAAGGAGGCTGTCAGTACTTGGGGTTCAACTGCCCCCACAACGGGAAACAGGGAATTACTGCCGGGAGCCACGGCGCAGACACACGGCAAGGCGGGGAGAGAAAGGATGAAACGGGGCACGCAGTTGTAGAGAGGCGTTCACAGCAAAATTCCTCATTTCCTGAGCTGCCCCGGGGGATCCCACAGGGAGAATCTAAGCTTTGGGGTGGGGGGAGGTTAAAGCTCATCCCATTCCCGCTCTTTCTGCTGTCCTAAGATTTCCTTGGACACTTTCACAGCTTTTCTGGGAATTCCAGCCCATTCCAGCCAGGAATTCCCTCCCAAAATCCCATCTAAACCCACCCTGCCTCAGTTTGAAGCCATTCCCTGGGTCGTGGAATTCTAGCCCTTATCCCAAGTTCTCTGCAGCTCTCCTGGAACCTTTTAGGCTCTGAGGTCTCCAGGGAATTTCCCTTCTCCAACCTTTCCAGGGGTTGCCACAGCCTCTCTGGGAATTCCAGCCCATTCCAGCCAGGAATTCCTTCCCAAAATCCCACCCAAATTTCCCTTTCTCAGTTTAAATCAATTCCCTGTGTCTTGGAATTTCCATCCCAAACCCATTCCCTGTGCCCTGTTCCTCCATCCCTTATCCCAAATCCCTCTCCAGCTCTCCTGGAGCCCCTTTAGGCTCCGGAAGCAGCTCCAAGGTTTCCCTGGAGCCTTCCCTCCTCCCAGTTTCGCTGGACATTCCAGGAACTGGGAATCCACCAGCCCATCCTAGTTTGGAGGTTTCAGTTGCACCCAGCTCATCCCAGCTTTAGCTGTGGCAGAGTTGGCTCCCACTGAATCCTACCCCATTCCCCACTAGNCTGAAGGCAGGGATGTCCCTGCTGTTGTGCAGGGCAAAGCTCCCACCTCACCTCCCCAAACTTGAGCACCTCAATTCTCACTGCTCCAAAACCCCAACCTAAGAATCCCCAGGGCTTTCCCTGGAGAACCAGCCCCAAACCGCAGGAACTGCCTGTACCTGAAGGCAGGGTTCTCCCTGTTGTTCTGCAGGGCAATGGCCTCCACCTCGGGCCCGCCTGCAGCCACGAACTGCGCCAGCTTCTCGGCCGAGTTGCGCGTCTCCTGGTCGGCTGGGGGGGAAACTTTAGGCAGGGATTAGTCCTGGGCCCAGCTCACCCCAGCCCAGCTAACCCGGCCTAAGCACCCCAGAGAGGCCTAGAGTCGGGTTCAAAGGGGGAGAATCGGTACAAAGGAACAGTTAAAAAGTGCAAAACATCACTTGAAATCCCAGTTTGGGTGCAGGGGTGGGGAATGAGGATCCCAGCGAGGCCTAAAGCCGGGTTTAAAGGAGGAGAATTGGCACAAAGTGGCACAAAAATTTCTGTCTAAACCCGAGTTTGGGAGCAGGGACAGAACCTCAGGATCCCAAGAGCATAGTCATGCCAAAAGCCAGGATTGAAGTGGGAAAATTGGTGCAATGAAAGCACAAAACCTTCAGCTTAGGCCTGGCTTTGGGGAGCAGGGATGGGAGAGATGAGAGGCAAAGCAGCTTTGGGCTCCCAAAGCCCAAATTTCCCCTGTGCCAGGCACTTTTCTGTAGGATTAAAACACTTAGAATTAAGCCTAATTAAAGGCTTTGTAATTTTTCCCTCTATCAGGCACTTCTCCATAGGATTACAGCACCTGGAATAATCCCTAATTAAAAATTTCGGATTTTTCCCTTGTGCCAGGTATTTCTCCACAGGATTACACCGCCCAGGATTATCCACATTTCAAGATTTTGTCCCTGAATTTCCCAGGAACGAAAGGAAATCCTTTGGAAAACTCCAAATTCCCTATAAACCCACTTAATCCCCCTCTCACTGCACCCCCTGGAGGCGATTTCAGGGGAAATTCCCTATGGAAAATCCCAAATCTCACCTGGAAAAGGGTGGATACTCCAATACAATCCAAAAAAAAAAAAAAAACAAACCAAAAAGAGGGGAAAAAATCCCCTTTTTCTAAATTTTCAGTGTTGGAGAATTATTTTGGAATATTTTTGACAACAGCAAAGAAAATCCCATTCAAAATCCCAGGAATATTTTGGGAATCCACATTTTTGGCACAAGGATTTGATTCTCCTTCCAGCTGGGAATTTTCTTTCCAGGCAGCCAAATTTCCACCCCAGTCCCAAACCAATCCCAAATTTCCCTCCTGCCGTTGCCATTCCCCACATTTTAGTGGGAATTACCTTTTTGGGAAGAGGCTGCCTGGGAATTTTGATTTTCTTTCCTAATTTCTGCCACTTTCTTCCTGTAGTAAAGGAATTCTCTGCTGTTCTTATCATGCAAAAACCTGGGAAAAAAGGGGATAAAAAGAGGCGTAATTATACAAATATTGATTTTCTGGGATAGAAACAACTCTAAATCCCACGCGGAAAAATGGAGGAATTACTCAGAATGCACCTAAACCATGGAATTAGATTCTGGAGTTTTAATCCAAGGATTTGCATCCAAATTTGTTGATTGAAAGGAAATTTAGGAGGAATCTTCTGCCCACCAGTGCTGGGATTAGAAAACTCTTCCATACATCAAATCCAAACATTTCCACCCTTTAAATCCAAACGTTTTCGCCCCTCAGATTCCAAATTTTCTCCCCTCACAGGAAGAAGAAGACACCCAAACATTTTCTCTCCTCAGGGAAGAACAACGAATCCAAAATTTTCCCCCTCAAATCCAAACATTGTCTCCCCTCAGATTCCAAATTTTCTCCTCTCAGGGGAAGAACAATGAACCCAAACTTTTCCCCCTCAAATTCCAAATTTTCCCTCTCAAATCCCAAACATTTTCTCCCCTCAAATCCCAAGTATTCGCTTCTCTGGGAAGCACAATGAACCCAAACCTTCCCCNTGGAAAAGCTGGTGGGGTGAAAGGGCTGTGGGAATCAGGTGAATATTCTGATCCTAATCCCTGGAATTGGGGAATCCATGGAATTGTGGAATCCCTGGAATTGGAAAATCCATGGAATTGGAAAATCCATGGAATTGTTTGGCTTGGGGGAGCCAGGGACACCTTCGGCCATCCCAGGCAGCTCCAGCCTGGCTTTGGGCAATTCCAGGCTTGAGGCAGCCCCGTTTTCCTTGGGGAGTTGTCACTCCCTGAGGGTTCATCCTGACAAGTTTTCCTGGTTTTCCCTCGGGAATTGCAGCTGCTGCTGATGGAGAGGAAGCTGCAGGAGGTTCACCCGCTGCTGACGCTGTGCGGGCAGATCGTGGAGAACTGGCAGGGCAACCCCATCCAGAAGGAATCCCTCAGGGTCTTCTTCCTGGTCCTGCAGGTCACACATTACCTGGATGCCGGCCAGGTACGTGCCACGCTCCAGCTGGGAGTTTGGGATGGGATATTCCGTAAAAAATCAGCCCCGGGGGGATTTTTGGGTTTATTGTAATGGCAGCAAACTCCTGTTGGCGTTGTTCCCAAATTAAATGGAGAGGGAGGAAATCACGTTAATTTGGAGATGTTGTCCGTGAGATATTTTTGTATCCATGGCGGTCTCTGTTGCTTCCCTGGAGTGTTGGAGGGAATAAAGGGATTTTTGGGGGATTTTGGGAACATTTTGAGCATCCCTTGGTGCCGTTCACCTCTGTGAAGCACTGGGGGTCGTCCATCCTAAACCAGCGCCCTGGATGTGGGAATTGGTGCTGCTGGGAGGTTTCCCCTCCCCAGCACTCCAATCCATCCTAAACCAGCCTGGATGTGGGAATTGGCGCTGCTGGGAGGTTTCCCCTCTGTCCGAGCTCTCCAATCCATCCTAAACCAACCTGGATGTGGGAATTGGCGCTGCTGGGAGGTTTCCCCTCTGTCCCCAGCACTCCAATCACTCCTAAACCAACCTGGATGTGGGAATTGGCGCTGCTGGGAGGTTTCCCCTCTGCCCAGCACTCCAATCCATCCTAAACCAGCCTGGATGTGGGAATTGGCGCTGCTGGGAGGTTTCCTCTGT